AGGGGATCCAGGGAAGAGAAGCAAACCTTTCCCCCCCTTGGTAGAAACTGTGAGGAAAATCCGAATGAGTCATTTAGCTCAATGAGTGTTGAAGGTTTAGTCCCTCATGCGGTGCGCCGGACACACTTCCTACCACACAATATACCAGTCATAAGATGGTATTACCAATTTGCATCCGTTTTAGAGGAACGAAATTAGTTTACCCCTTCCATTCTCTTTCCACTCCTCTCCCTTTCCCATTCCTACCATATTGGGAGTCATATGCCATCACCTGCATGTTAAAGTCATGCAAACAGGCACCAGAAACATCAGTAGGGTTATTTGGAGAACACACCGACCCAAGGATGTCATCAATTCGCCTCACTAAGTCTCACCAAATCTCAATTAATTTTAATCTCCTCACCTCTCGCGTCACCAGTTTTCCAATCACCATTACAAGTCAGATCATTTCCTCCTATCAAACCCCAATCACAGCCGGCGTCGCGTTCCCTGATTTCCTCATCTTATTCATGCCAAAGATATCGTTTTTTTTAGTCGCGACTAAAATGTCGTAAACTTCCTCCGCAGCCGTTACAAGACTGAACTGTAAATGTTAATGTTTTTTTATGCCATCTCCAGAGGTTTTTTTTTTTTTTGTCCTATTTCGATGTAATAAAAACGTCCTTAAATTCAAGGGATTTTTCTACTTTCTCTGGCATATCCTGGAACCATTGATATCAACACCTATGACAGACCCTTTAAAGTACTTATGCTGGTTTTGAAGATTGTGAGTAAAGCAAATTTTGTATAACCAGTCCGGTGTGAGGTAACTGTATAATATACGACAAACTGGATACACACTTGTAGACCGCAGATTTATTTGTACAAAATTCTTTTATTGGGCAAAGAAACTGGCATTTGACTCTTCTCGTTATATTATATCCCTCGATTTGTGAATGAAATTAAGAGTTTTGGTTTAAAAAAGTGAGATGGTTTGCCTACAACAGACGTTACTCTGGAAGCAGAGGCAATCATACGTCACATTGACACTAGAGGCACTCCTTACTGCCAGAGAGAGAGAGAGCGAGAAAGAGAGTAGCCGCGTCACATCAAATGCAGAGGGTCCTATCCCAGGCCAGGGAATGTATATTTATTTTGGTAAATTATCACCAAACTTGCATGCATTTCACGGCACAATTTTAAAGCTCGTTAAAACTTAAAAATATATTTCTCTTTAATGTTGTGACCTTAAAGAAGGTCTCAGAAGTTGTCTTGGCAGTGAGGAGAAAAAAAAGGCTGAGGTGGCAAGAAAGAGAGATAAAGGGAGAAAGGAAGGGAATGTGGAGATTAAAAAGGTAGATATTCGGGAAAGGTGCAAGGAAAAGTGAGAGAGACAGGGAGGAAAGGGAATTTATTTTCCTCATTTTCAACTCCCTTTTTTCTCCCTCCACTCTTCTTTTCTCCACCCTCTTTCCCTCCCTCCACTTCCACTTTTTCATC